CAATTTGTTAGGTAATTTTCAGATTGCAAAGGGCCAGGCCTTTCATATGCAAAAGCCTCTGCTAGCACTTGGGTGGTGTGTGGTCTCAGGGGACCAACAAGGTGGAGCAAACAGGTATGGCAGATCCTCAGTCCTACCCTAAGAGGTCCCGCATCTCAGTGTCGCGAGGTAATCACTGCAAGCACCTCTGAGAGAAAGCTGCCCTCGAGTTCCAATCGATGCCAGACAGTCCAGTTTCTCCCCTTATGAGTCTGGGTTCCCAGAGACTCGCCCAGAACTGGAGTTTAGAGCATTCGGGAGCTTGAGACTCCGTCCCGATTGAAAAAGACAACCATGTCCTTAGTTGCCAGCCCTTTCCACATGCGCCTCCATATCACTGCACTTTCACACCTCCTCTGAGTCTCAGTGTGCTTTTCTCTTTCCTTCTGGTTGTAGAATTTCCACTCAGCCAGTCTTCCTGTGGTCCTGGATGATGTCTGTTTTGTCTTTTAGTTGTATTTTTGATGTGGTTGTGTGAGGCAGCAATTTCCGGTGTTTACCTATGCTGCCATCTTGGTTTCTCTCCTTTTATATTTCTTTAATTTTATAATTAGAAAGATATAGAATATTGGGTTTGAGGGGTGTTACTTAATGAGCGGAATCTTCTTAGCTTTAAAATAAAATTTCTTATGCCCTAACCAGTTTGGCTCAATGGATAGAGCATCGGCCTGTGGACTCAAGGGTCCCAGGTTCGACTCCAGTTAAAGGCATGTACCTTGGTTGCGGGCATATCCCCAGTGGGGAGTATGCAGGAGGCAGCTGATGGATGTTTCTCTCTCATCGATGTTTCTAACTCTATCCTTCTCCCTTCCTCTCTGTAAAAAATCAATAAAATATATTTAAAAAAATAAAATTTCTTAGATGCATACACGTTTTTTTCTACCCTGGGAGCCCAGTAATATGTATGCCCCCCCCTCCATTTTTTCCTAGTTTTCTTAGCTTTTTTGTTTGTTTGTTTGTTTGTTTTAGTTGACATAAAAAATGGGAGTTCTTTTAGCACATAAGCATGAAATATGTTTCTTTATATTCAGGCACCTTTGATATAACTGTCTACATTTTATGCTGCTGCTACTGGTTTGTTTGTTTTTTATAATATATTTTTATTCATTTTTTACAGAGAGGAGGGGAAAGGGATAGTTAGAAACATCAATGAGAGAGAAACATCGATCAGCTCCCTCCTGCCCACCCCTTACTGGGAATGTGCCCACAACCAAGATACATACCCTTGACTGGAATCGAACCAGGGACCTTTCACTTCGCAGGCCGATGCTCTATCCACTGAGCCAAACCAGTTAGGGCTGCTACTGTTCTTATTAACTAGGCAGATCTTAAATAACATGTGGCTAGTGGCTGCCATATTGGATAGTGCAGAAAGTTTAATGTAAAAAAACAAAAATCCATTTCCTTTGTTAAACCATCTACACTACTGTGTTTAACAGCACAGATCAAGAACATTTGCATCCTTGCAGAGAGTTTTATTTGACTGTGTTGTTTTCAGTAACTTTTTTTTACTTTTTCTTTATAATGTATCATCTTTGTCTATATTCTTATCACCTGGGTGGCCTTCCTGGCTTCTATAACTCACTTCAGTATGATGTTCTTCTCAGTAGTGCTTTGCTGATTTGCCACCAATCTCAGCTTCTGTATTCATCTTTCATCTTTTTGGGGTGGCAACATCTATCCTGAGTAGCCATATTTCCCATTCTTACTTCATATGCTCCTTGGTTAAAGCTTATCTTTCTCAGAATATGTCATGATTAGCACTTTACTTCTCTTTCTTTCTTCTTGAAGCATCTTTAATTTCTCTCAAGTGTTCATATCTTTGCAGTTCAGATCCCTCCAGAATAAATTTCTGGGTGTTGTGCTCCTTGATGGTTTTCATCTCCTTTAGCTTATGTTGGATTTCTGCTGTGTGCTGAACCTATTGACTCTGTCTGATCCATACTGTCAACATGTATCATGAGTTTTAAGAACTTCCTATGTACTAGGCGCTTTCCATATGTGGACTCATTTAGTTCTTGAATGCTAGACATTACTACCCTTATTTTACAGATGAGAAAGTAATTTCAGAGAAATTAAATAAGTATCTAAAGCTATGTAGTTCACTAATCTATGATTGAACTCAGTTCGACTAACTCTAAAGCATTGTTCCTAAACTTGGCTCTATTTCCTAGCACTGAGCACATGAGAGGCAAAATAAGTAAAGTTTGGTGCCATTTTTAGCTGATACTAATTTTGTACCTGTGAAAAAGTGTGGGTGAAAATCAGGCTTTATCAATAATTAAAGTGATGGTGAAGCCATGCTAATTATAATAGACCAAAGGAGAAATGCAGCAGGGAGAAGGGTGGATAGGTTAATTAAACTAGAACAGTGATGATCAGACTTGCATTTCTAGGTGTTCCTCACTTGTTTCTTTGTAGTCATTTTGCACACTTTAGTTCTGATTACTAAACTTAGAGATTTAAAGATTGTATTCGCTGATCTTTTTTTTAAGTAAATTTTATTTTTTTTGAGAGAGAGAAAAAACATACATGTGAGAGAAACATTGATTGGTTGCTTCCCGTATGCGCTCCGACCAGACTGGGGATTGTCCCATAACCTGGGTATGTGCTCTGCCACCTTTTGGTGTACAGGAAAATGCTTCAGTCGACTGAGCCACACCAGCCAGGGCTAAAATAGCCTGATCTTGATTTGGTAGTGAACCCACTCATTTTATAATCCTATCCTCCCTAACCTCTTTAACAAACTTTTTAAGATATGATTGATGTACATTGTACCCATTTTAAGTGCAGTTTGATGAATTTTTATAGCTATGTTAATACTACTCCAATATATTGAACATTTTTCATGTTACCACCACTCTAGTATATAAAACATTTTTATTACACTGCCTTATACTCCTTTGTAGCTAATCTCGCCCCAACACTGATCTGTTATCTGTCTCTGTTGATTAGTTTTGCCTGCTCTATATGTACATGTAATTAGAATCATACAGTATGTACTCTGCTCTTTGGTGTTTTGTTTTTTTGCTGTGGTACATTATACCCTACCCAGGTTTTTCCTTTCTTTAGCATTAAAAGCACATGACTTTCTGAATGTCTACACCCTTTGAAAGTTTTTAAATATATTGTTGTGCAGAATTCCCAGATTTGTACCTGCTTTGAGCCAGCTCTTACAGTGCTTTCTGTTCTTAGTGCAAAGTTAGTGTAGATTTCTTTAGGTAATCTAGTCAGTTGAGATAAGGGTTAGATGATAAGAATGTCAGACAGTATCTTAAGGACAAAACGTAATAGCTATAAAGGAGATAGAACTCAAACTAAGTCATGAGTTCTTTTTTTCTTTTAGTATAATCTGCATATCTTCCTAATATTTTGCAAAGTAGCAACAAATATTTTATCTCATGTCAAGCCTCTGGTTGACTTAGGGATTTTGTTAGTAGATTTTAAGGTAGCTATAGTATGGTCATTAATAAATATATTATCCATATTACCAACTTGATGTTTGAGCTCATTTACCCATTAATAGATTTTTCAAATTATGTAAATTTTCATTTAATAGGAATTTTGACTTATGTGCAAAAGTTTAGAACCAGTCATATTTTAAAGTAAGGGGTAGATGTACATGTAAAGTCTACTGAATTCCTGCCCATAAATGTCTATGATGATTAATTTTTATGTACATTAAATTTTAAAATTATTATGCTAGCCTTCCAAACTCAACTTTAAGAGATGACTTCTTTCTCTTTTCCCTTCAGAGTCTCCACAGCCCATTGGCTCACTTGGGCATGACACTGACTTGCAGCAGGAGGATACCTCTAACTCTGGTGTTGCTGGAATCCATAGGCTGTTTAATTGGCTATCAGAAACACTGGCAAATGCACGCAATTCGGATGCATCCCTGACAGACACGGTCAACAAAGCCTTAGGATTGAATTCTGATGGTGCCTATGAAGAGCTGAGGCAAAAGCATGAATATGAGTTGAATTCTAACCCAGATAAGAAAGAATATGAGCAGCTTACTTGTGCAAAAATTGAAAATGCTCATTTTAAGGGCACTCAGATCCCATTATTAGAAGCTAATACATCATCTGTAAAGTATCCTATTGCTCTTTCTACCAGTGAAGTAGGCACAGAAGTAAGTTATATCTTTTGATTATATTGTTTGCTTTTGTGAATGTGTGTGTGAAAGAGAGGATGTGCTTTAATGGGTTTTTTCTCCCTTTTAAAAAGAAAGAAACATTTTGATAAAAGTGTCCAGGATAGTATTTCCTAGTTACTCCTTTTTACAAAGAGTTAACTATGGAAGTAGTTGTTTTCCTTCCTGCTTACAAGTTTATGGATAGTCCAAGATTTACCTATGTTGCTAAAGTTAAGGCTAGACAATCTGTTTTTCAGAAATGGCTAATTGGGAGTTAATTACATATCGTTTCATAATAAAATTGAATTCTTGAAACATTGGCTTTCTGCTGGAAATACCATAACCCATAGGTGAAGTAGATGAGGTGACTAAAGTCAGTGCACTAGTGTTACAAACAAGGTTAGGTACTTTGTCTTTCTCTTACAAATAGGAATGGAAAATGAATTGCCTTTAGGATTACCACTGAAGTGACACTCGGCCTTGCTTGACAGGGCATCCAGTTTATTTATGACTTCTGTTTAGAGTACTGATCTCTAGCTGAGAAGTAGCCTTCTATTCCCCCCAAGAAGTGGCTGCATCACTGAGGAACAGTACTAGGATGGCACCATCCTAAGGGCTTATTTCTGATTTACTCTTCCTTCATTTTCTCTTCTCTGCCTTTGGCTAAAAGTCATGTGTATGTCCCTAGCCTTTGTCCATGTAGTTTTCAGACATTTAATTTAGGGGGAGGATGATTGTAGGAGGCTCACTTGGGGAGAAGTGTAAAGTAGGCACTGAGAAACTAATTTATGTTGTCAGCATTTCCTAACATGTTTTTTCTCTAAATTGGGTTGATATAGGCCAAACTCTGCTCACCACCTATGTTTGTAAGTACAGTTCTGTTGGAACACAGCCATGCCCATTCGTTTAGGTATTGCCTTGGCTGCTTTTGCACTTCAATGACAGTGCTGAGTATCTGAATATATGGCCTGCAAAGCCTCAAATACTTAGTGCTTAACTGAATAAGTTGAGCAACCTCAGTTCTAAATCAATATTAAATTATGTTTTGAAGGAAAGGTGTTTTAATGTAAGGCTGAAGTATTATTAATTTACCATGTTTGAATGACTAATTTTCAGTGTTCAGAGTGAAGGTTGTGAATTTGCTGTGAAAAAATGGTTGTTTATTCTTGACATTAAAATGAATTGAAAAGAAAGCTAATGAATATGTCCTCCAATTTTTAGGAACCAAATTTAATTAGCATAAATAATTTTGAAGATTGCAGTTTGTGTCCCACCATTCCCATTGAACATGGATTCCATAAACAATCTAAGTCTAATAATGTTGAAGAGACTGAAATACATTGGAAACTGATTCCAATTACAGGTAAGAACAAGTGTACTGGGAATTAGGTTTGCTTGGTTTTACGTAGGGACCAGTTTCATGAAAGGTTTCATCTTTTCTAGATTCCACTCTTGAGTGCTTTGTCTTACTTGGCTCCGACATCTTCAGTGTCTTATTTTGAGCAATATAATGTTTATTGAGTGTTACTGTTCTTGGGCAGCATCAGCAAGTGTCTGCAAAAAGCCCTATTAAAAATAGGGATATAAAACATGCTTATTCTCTGTATGGAGTTTAGCATGTAAACTTCCAAATGAAAATTGTTGGCAGAAATTGAGTTTCTAATAAGGTGAGGTAGATACAGAGATGCAGTGATGGTCTTTGGACAGCCAGTAAATGCTGTCTGCTCAGATGATAAGCTTCATTATAACAAGCTGTCATCAAAGAAGTGGTCATATTGAGGTTCATCTATTTAAAAGAAATTTGATTTCTTAGTATTGGATTATCTTGGCATAATTGGGTCATTGTGGAGAATGTCCTGAAATGCAAATATTCTGGGAAGCTTAATGAACCATGAGGTAAGAATAGTTTAGCAAATGTTGAAAGATCATTTTGCAGTATCCTAATTTCTCTGTGCAAACACATATATGAGCACATATGTACATAATCTTAATATTCTAAGTTCTTATTCATCTTTGTTAGTTAAGCATTTTTTGAAATATTTCAGGGCACATCTTTTCCATTTCTAGACCTTTATTTAACCTTTAAAAGGGAAAAAAGTAGATTGATTTGTAACCTAGAAGCTACTGAGACTTACAAGGATTCTGAGAAGAATTTCTAAAACTTTGATGAATTTCCTTGGGCTTCAGCACCATTCTCTACTTAGTACCTTACCAGAGAGGGTGAGAGGCCTAGAAGTGATGGTAAAGAGGCAACTGTTTCTCATTTGGGAGCTGAAGGTGTCAGTTTCTCCCACTTAACCTTTACAGTTAATTTCAGAACCATTTGAAGGCACAATATCTAGGTGTTGATATTCCATCATCACCTGAATAGAAAGGGAAGCAACTTCCCATTTCTGAATGAGTCTTCAAGATTATTTTAGGGAAAAGAAGGACTACTTGGATTTGTTAGCATTTGGGGTTGTCTCAAAGCTGCTTAATAGGTATCACCATATTTGAAGAGAGTCTACAATTCTAATGGATGCTTTCTGTCAGGAGGGAATGCAAGAAGCCCAGAAGACCAGCTGGGGAAACATGGTGAAAAACAAACGCCAGGTGAGAAGGGTCCCTTTGCTTTTCCTCCCTCCCACTGTGCCCTTTTTCAGAATTGCTACTTGTATTTCTGGTCTTCTATCAATAGGGCATCAACTTAAGTTCTGTTAATTACAGAAAATTTGGATTATATCATTTATATTATTACTTGATTTCTATCAAATATTCTTATATAAATAATGTGTTCAAAGAAGTGACTACATATTCATAGAGAGTACAGGTGTTTTCTTCACCTGCAATCAGTTCTATCTGATATGATGACTTGGGAATATTTTTCTTAATCCATTTCGGTAGGTTATTTTATGTGAAGCAGTCTTTAAGTTTCTCTTAAATTTATACAAATACATGGAGGTGAAGCCATTTATCTTTTAGGTACATTATTCCTAATCTTGAAATTTTTTTACCCAATTCTTCCTCTAATTGTAAAGCTAATTTCTGCAGATGATTTAAATCAGAGATTAGGGAACTTTTGGATTCCAGAAACATTTACACGTAGTAATGATTAGCTAGTTGCAATGGGTGCAACTAAAAGAGTCTTCTGTCTGAGCTCAGTCAATTCAACATCCCTGCATGGTCATAGGCTTTGTTTTCTTAGAGTTTGGTACTGGGTCTTTTTTACTTGTTTTCATTTTGTTGATCTTACTCTTTTAGAAATCTTAGCACGTTAAGCACCAAGCCTGTTTTGTCTTCCTTTCCGTTTCAATCACCAGTGACTGACATGGTGCTTAACGTGTTAAGTGGTTTTTGCGGGGGAAGGAAAGCTAAATGATTTTTGATTTTTAGTAGTTCTTTACAGTTATTCCTCTCTTTTGGAAATTAAAAAGACTTTTAGTTCAAGATTCTCTTGAAGAAAGCTATTATATTTCCTAGAAAAAGATGATCTAAATGTGTACACTTAGGTGATACCATTCAGATCAATGTGTAGAATACTTGAAGCACCTGAGGCTTGCTTTTGCATCTTCCTAGTTAGTGCTCTCCCTGCCCCTAGTAGTAACCACTAAATCTGACTTCTTTCATCATAGGTTAGTTTTACCTGTTCTTGAATTTAAGATATATGGAACCTACCTATCCTCTTGTTTTGGAGTCTTTCACTGAATATTATGTGTGCGATTCACCTGTGTTTTGTGTCTATCAGTAATTCTTTCTCTTTAGGAGCAGCAGCTATCTTGTTAGTGCTTCAAAATGCTTCATCAGCATCAGCAATTCTCTTATTTGGCATGCCATCTTCATATATTGTGATTGAAAGTACAAATATCTGAATACCACTCCCTTTTCACTTAAAAGTCAGAGTATTGCAATGCTTGAATAACAATAGAAAACATGCATTATTATGGATATTGACATGTTTCTTTTAAATAATTGAGGAAGACATTTTAAAAATAATAAAGTCAACCTACCAGTTAAAATCATATAGGGGAAATTTGTGCAAAATAAAATTAGGTAGTGATCATTTGCATTTTTTAAATGGATTTGGTTTAGAGTTTTTTTAATATGGAGAATTCCCCAGGTAGATTTAAGTTATATTTCATCTTTTAAAAATTCCCTTTATTGATAGCCCTTCAAGAATAAGTTTATAGGTCTGGCCGGGACCGGTTAGGCTCAGTGGATAGAGCATCAGCCTGCGGACTGAAGGGTCCCGGGTTCGATTCTGGTCAAGGGCATGTACCTGGGTTGCGGGCACTTCCCCAGTGGGGGATGTGCAGGAGGCACCTGGTCGATGTTTCTCTCTCATCGATGTTTCTAACACTCTATCTCTCTCCCTTCCTCTCTGTAAAAAATCAATAAAATATATTAAAAAAAAAAAAAAAGAATAAGTTTATAGGTCTGAACTATAGCTATAGATTTTTAGGAGCAACTATTTCATTTAAAATAATAAATGATTCAGAAATTTTTAAATTACAGGTGGTCCTCAACCCATTTGTTTTATGAGGTACAATTAAAAATCTTTTTATTTAAACAAATCAGGTATTTTGACATACATAATTGAAGAAGTACAAAAAATACTTCAAAAAGTATATCTTCCCCTCCTAGCACAAACATTTTACATATGCACTAGACCCCATATTGAAACTTAAGAAGAATATTCAGTATTACTGAGTTATTTTCTGGAACTTGAATTTTCTGATTTATCAGTTTATACAGTTTTAATTCATACCATGGTATTGGATATTTTGCTCCCCTTCTCTTCCACCTACAAACCTGCTATGGTCTTCTTATCCTGCAGACTGGTACCTTTATAGCAGTTAATGGTTACAGTGGTTCATGGTAACCACTAGGGTTGATAGAGAAATGTCACAAGCTGACTGCTACTAAGGCTGTTTAAAACCGTTAGATAAGTATGAGTGTGGGAAAATAAAATCTGAATTTTGTGTAAAGAGGGCATGCTGCTACACCTAGGTGAATAGGGAATTCACTGTATCTTTAAAGTACTGTAGTTTTGAAAACTAGTACCTGGATTTTCTGATTTAGAGGCACCATTCCATATACTAGAATAGCAATTTGTTATGGAAATGTTGGCTAAGATTTTTTAAAGGATAAAATTGTGTAGTATCAATCTTAAAGGCAAAGATCAGAAATTCTTTATTTTTCTAAAATATAATATTAAATGGTTGTTAAAGATCTTTTCCCCATGTTTTTAAAAAGGGACTTGGGTACCTGTTTTGAAATGTAATTTCAAAAACATTTTGTTTGAATTTAGGATTTGTGGTCAGGGAGGGAATTATGATTGTATGGGTTGAACTAGTTGTTAAGAGTAAAAAGTTAAATAATTCTATTAGCATCAACTAGCTGAATGACATCTTTATTTTAAATGGGATATTAGCTGTTGTGATTTCTCTAGAAATTATTTTGAAACAAAATAAAAATACTTAAGAAAGCATTGTCAAAAATGTTACCCTTTAATGCAGCTTTGAAATATGTTCTCTTCCTGTATTATTGAGCCTTTTTCCCCCTGATAAATTGAAGTTCCTAACATTGTAGGAAATCCATTAAGCAGCTTCATAGGAGAGAATATTCTAGAAGCATAAAATTAATTATCCTACATCTTGAATGCATCTCTTAAGTTGGACGTTATTCCCCCATCATTTTAGTTTGGCATTCTTTCAATTGTCTTACTCTCAAATTTTCATATCAAGACTATCCTAATATATAAAAAGCCAGGGGTCGTCACGACCGAAACAACCGGATGGATGACCAAACAGTAGTCTGTATGGGGCGACCAGGCTGGAAGTGGGGGCAGTGGGGGACGACCAAACGACTGAACAGCAGGTTGCATGGGGAACCAGGCCAC